CTAAGATTGGTGGAGTAGCAGATAGTGAAGGGGACTGTCGGAGAATGCAGCAGAATACAGACAGATTGGAGAGTTGGGCGGAGAAATGGCAGATGGAGTTCAATCCAGGCAAATGTGAGGTGATGCATTTTGGAAGATCCAATTCAAGAGCAAACTATACAGCAAATGGAAAAGCCCTGGGGAAAATTGATGCACAGAGAGATCTGGATGTTCAGGTCCATTGTATCCTGAAGGTGGCAACGCAGGTTGATAGAGTGGTCAAGAAGGCATAGGGCATGCTTTCATTCATCGGATGGGGTATTGAGTACAAGAGTTGGCAGGTCATGTTAAAGTTGTATAGGACTTTGATTCGGCCACATTTGAAATACTGCTTACAGTTCTGGTCGCCACGTTACCAAAAGGACGTGGATGCTTTGGAGAGGGTGCACAGGAGGTTCACCAGGGTGTTGCCTGGTATGGAGGGCGCTAGCTATGAAGAGAGGTTGATTAGGATTATTTACATTAGAGAGACGGAGGTTGAGGGGGGACCTGATTGAGGTCTACAAAATTATGAGAGGTATTGACAGGGTGGATGGCAAGAAGCTTTTTCCCAGAGTGGGGGACTCAATTACTACGGGTCACGATTTCAAGGTGAGAGGAGAAAAGTTTAAGGGAGATATGCGTGGAAAGTTCTTTATGCAGAGGGTGGTGGGTGCCTGGAATGCGTTGCCAGCAGAGGTGGTAGAGGCGGGCACGATAGCGTCATTTAAGATGTATCTAGACAGATACATGAATGGGCAGGGAGCAGAGGGATACAGATCCTTGGAAAATAGGTGACAGGTTTAGATAAAGGATTTGGATCGGCGCAGGCTTGGAGGGCCGAAGGGCCTGTTCCTGTGCTGTAATTTTCTCTGTTCTTTGTTCTCACAAACTTGATTGAGCTTTTTTGAAGAGATGACCAAGAAAATAGATGAAGGAAGAGCAGTAGGCATTGTCCACATGGACATTAGCAAAGCCTTCGACAAAGTTCCACATGGTACAGTGGTTAGTAAGGTTAGATCACGTGGAGTCCAGGGAAAGCTAGCCAAATGGATACAAAATTGATGGTAGGAGACAGAAGGTGTTGGAAGAGGGTTGATTTTCAGACTGGAAACCTGTGACTAGCAGTGTGCCACAAATTTCAGTGTTAGGTCCAGTGTTGTTGCTCAGTTACATAAATAATTTGGATGAGAACTTAGCAGGCATGGTGAGTAAGTTTTGTGGATGACACAAAAATTGGCATATAGTAGACCATCAAGAAGGCCACCTAAGGGTACAATGGGGTTTTGATCAATTTAGTTCGTGGGCTAAGGAATGGCAGATGGAGTTTAACTTAGATAAATGTGATGTGTTGCACTTTGGTAAGACAAACCAGTGCAAGACTTACATAGTTAATGGTATGGCCCTGTGGAATGCTGTCGAACGGACAGACCTAGAGGTGCAGGTACGTAGTTCCTTAAATATGGCGTCAGAGGTAGACAGGGTGGTGAAGAAGGCATTTGGCATGCTTGACTTCATCAGTCAAAGTACTGAGTACTTGAGTTGGAACATCATGTTACGACTATACAAGACATTGGTAAGATCACATCTGGAGTACTGCACACAATTCTGGTCAACCTGCTATAGGAAGGATTTTATTAAACTGGAAAGGGTGCTAAAGAGATTTACAAGGATATTACCAACACTGGAGGGTTTGAGTAATATGGAGAGGCTGGATAGGTTAGGATGTTTTTCCCTGGAGTGTAAGAGACTGAGGGGTGACCTTATAGAGGTCATGAGGGACATTGATAAGGCGAATAGCCACGGTAGGGGAGTCCAAAATTAGAGAGTATTTGTTAAAGGTGAGAGGGCAAAGATTTAAAAAGGACTGAGGGTGCAACTTTTTCACACGGCATGTGTGTTTGAAAGAACAGATGCCCGTGGAAGTGGTAAACATGAGTACAATTACAATATTAAAAAGACATTCAGACAGGTATATGAAAAGGAAAGGTTTAGGGGGATATGTGCAAAACACAGGCAAATGGGGCTAGTTAAGTTTAGGAAACCTGGTTGGCATGGACAAGTTGGGCCGAACGGTCTACATTTTACTGCACCATTACTCTAAATTGGAACAAGTGCAGAAGTGATTAATAATAGAAATGGCTCTAGGGATGAGAAATTTCAGTTACAAGTTGCGACTATTCGCTTTGGAGAGAAGGGTAATTGGAGATCTGATAAAAGTTTCCAAAATCATGAGTGGGCTTGATAGAGTAGGTAATCTGTTCTGGCTTGTAAAAGGATCAAGAATCAGAGGGCAAAAGTTTAAAGTGATTTACAAAAAGAACAAATATGAAGCAAGAAAAGCTTTTCATACAGCACAGCACATAGTTAGACTATGGAATGCACTGCTCGGAAGTGTGGTGGAAGCAGGTTCATTCAAGGTATTCAAGAAGATATTGGATGGTTTTGATCGAAATAATGGGCAAAGGTTGGTGGAGAGGGGGCAGCACGAGTTTGGCAGAAGGCAATGATGTTCATTTGTGTAGTGATTCGAACAATTTCAACCAGGTGGATCTCATAGAATATGAATTCCCTGATTGGAGCTCCTAACCTGGTCCAATCAGGAAGTCCTGGCTGACAGATGTAAACAGGAGTGTCAGGGGTTCTGTGCTAGCTGGGCCAGTGTCTTGTACCACAGATGTGTGGTGATAGGGTGGCAGCCTTCATGGGGTTATTTCTGTGGTGATGAAAGAAAAACACATTCTTGAAGAGGTTTGCTCACAACAGTCATTTTGAATTGGGTTAAGTATTTCTGGCATCTGTTGCTGTTTGGGAAGCTTGACTTGTTTGATCCTGCTGTTGAAGACTAGGTCCACTATGTGGAAAGAATGCATTATTTTTTCTGGGCAAATGACATTGGAGCAGATGAATTGCAATCAGTAATTCTACTGACAGCCTGTAGAGCTGCAGCTTTTTTGAGGATTAGGAGCCTAACTTTACTGGAGGCATCAGATAATAAAACCTTTCAAGAATTGTTAGATTTAGGTAAGGAATTTAACGACACCAAGCCTCCTCTAATTCTAGATGCTGTCAGCTTTACTCACCTGTGAGAACCAGGGGAATCTGTATCAGGATTTTTGAGGTTAAGATGCTGGCAGAGGTATGTGATTTTGGTTTAACTCTAAGTGAGATATTAAGAGACCATTTGGCATGTGGGATTAATGATGAGACCATACAAAAGCACCTACTAGATGAGGCCCAACTGGACTTCAAACAGGCACTACAACTGACTTTGTCATTAGAAAATGCAGCAAGTGGAGTTTATGAATTATAGGCGATGCTGATGTAAGTGGACACCCTTGCAAGACCGACTGAGCTTGAGGAACACCACTTGAGTGAAGACAATTGCGCAGCTTCACTCAGGACATATCCTGAACAGAGGGACCCTAGGGCAGCCCACAGTAAAACCCCAAATCAAAGACTTGGCCAAAAGATTAAAATTTTCCTTGAGGATCTGGACTAGCATGTCATTGTAGTTGACTCAAGAAGCAAGAGTTTCACTAGACTTTAATTGAGTAAGAGAGCTCAGGCTGGTATCCAAGAGAGTGCACACCCTGGAAAGTCCACTTACAGCTGGTTTGGAACAGTTAAAATGTGTAGCAACATCCAAATAAGAACCAATCAAAATAAACATCTGGTTAAATAGTGACCCAATTCCAATGAGGTCAATACTGGTGTGGTGATTACAGAACAAGTCTTTACCAACATTCAGTCTAGAATCCAACCCTTTAGTGTGAGTAAGACCTTGACCAGGCTGAGAACCATTACAGGTTGAGGGTATAACTTTGGTTCCAGTCTCCTATGAGAAGTTGCTCGTTCAGTTATCAATGATTGTAGTAAAAGGCTTAGGCCCAAGCTTGATGGAGTGAAATTCTTTGAGAAAGATTCAACTTGATTGGCTTAACATTTTCTGATTAGAAAAACTGCCTGAGTGAAGTCCTAATTAAATATCCATTGGCTTTTCAGGTAGGTCTTGGAATAATCAAATGGGCCAAGACCACCTTACAAGTTGACCAAGAAGCAATTCCACGATTCTGGCCAGGCCTGCCCAGTGCCAGTTGCCTTGTGTCAAAAGTAGGTTATCAGGAGGCTGGCAAGCAAAGAAACCATTAAACCAGTACAGTTTGCAGAATGGGTAGCACCGGTTGTATTGATCATGAAAACAGCCTGATGGGTCAATTCACCTTTGTGGGGATTTCAAACAAACGGTGAACCACTTTTCATAGCTGGATAAATACTCAATCACTTGCATAGAGGTCCAATACACAAAACTAGCAGGGGGAGGGGAACTATCTGTCACAAAGCTGGACATATGCTTACTCGTACCTGCAATTACTATTGAACTCAGTACTCAGGAAAGGTCACTAGACCTGAAACGTTAACTTTCTTTTTACCCTCACAGATGCTGCCAGACCTGCTGAGCTTTTCCAGCAACTTTGTTTTCATTACCATGACACACTAAGTTTGGGTAGGTGAGGCAGTCTTGAACAAGCACGTGGATGACATGAAGGCTGCAACCTCCCAAATTGGGCAGGAGCAAAACATACCCAGTCCCTCAGAACATCTGGGTTCTCCCTCTCCGTCCAGCACCAAAGAAACCTCTGAGGATAGAATGGACACGGCAGATGTCACAGTCTCAACGGCATTGCTGCCTGAAGATAAGTTTCAGCTGAGACCCTCCAGGCACGAGATGTGGACTATAGTTAGGTACACGCCGCCAATGTCTGAGGAACGGACCTAGTGCGAAAACACACCAGGAGCTACAGGAAAAAGAACGGGCCTTCGTCCCAGGACTTAGAGGGGGAGGGATGTAGTAATTGGGCTCATGTCAGCCAGGTGGATCTTACAGAATATAAATTTTCTGATTGGACCAGGTTAACAACCCCAAACAGGCAATCTTGGCTGAAAGGTATGAACAGAAGTGTTAGGGGTCTTGTGTACTGTAGGAGCTGGCTCCGAGTTAGCAGTTTTAATGTCTTGTACGATGCACGTATAAATAAAGGGCGACTTGGAGGGTAGAATAACTCGCCTTTGCGGAGTTATTTCAATTTGAAGAACTCATACAGTTACAATAGATTGAATGGCTGTGTTCTGCGTCCTAACGCCTCTGTGATCTTCAGCTCCTCAATAATTGAAGATAAGGAGAAGACAGCAGGCAAAAGAGGCAGAACGTACAGGACAGGGATTACAAACAATATACATGTTACCAGGGGCAACCAGCAATTTTCACTTCCAAATCGGTGTATCGCTGCTCTAACAGTAAGAAGAACAGGCTAGGAAATCGGCGTCATTCAGGAAAAAAAACACTGGACGTGAAAGTGCCGCACGGTGCGGAAGAGGGATATTTTACGCCGACAAGGAATGAAAACGATAACGGCATAATTCGGTGTACTCGGACTTCTTTTTGTCATTGGGAGGTGATGTGCGGTTCGTTGCCGGAAGTGATGCAACGGTTTGCTGTCGTGTCCGTTGCCAAGGCAGCGGGCAGTAATTGTTGGGACTACGGGGGCTGTGCATCATTTAGGTTTTATTCTCGGTTCCAATTATTAGTTAAGCTGTAGCAATGGCTACCGTATTGCCACAGCAGGACAACAGCAACACATACACTTTCTCGAGCCGCCCGAGAGCACTGCAGGAAAGGAAGAAATATCGGCAGGAGCAGCAGCAACAGTGAGTGAGGAGGAAAGGGCCAAACGAAGAAGCTGGGAAAAATAAGAGCAGGGTAGAGAGCAGCATTGATTGGGGGAGGGGGGAGAGGATGTCAGAAGGTGACACTGAGGAGGGAGAGCAGGTCAGAGGCTGACGTTGGGGGAGCGGGAACAGCAGGGTAGAAGGATGGTATTAAAGGAGTGGGATGGGGGTGGTAAGAGGAAGAAGTGGGGCAAAGAAATGCATCATTGAGTAAAGTTATCAGAACATTACTGGGCGTAGGGCTGCTGTCTAATTAAACCACCGCCTGACTGGTGGTTTAACTTGAGGGTCACCATTCGTCAGGTGATAGGAGAGGTTGAGAAGGTGAGTCCTTCGTGGTAGGTGCGTCCTTCGTGGTAACCTCAATTGGTGTGGGAATTTAACCAATGCCTAAAAATAACTCTAAGGACTAGAAGCAGTGGTCAAGGGAAAGTGCTTGTGGCAAGGACAAAAGTAAGTTCCATTTTCCCAATATTCCCCTTCATTCAGTATTGAGCAGTCAACTATCAGTGTGACAAATCAGAAGTTTGAAGCAAGGGTGGTGAGGTAGAACTGAGTGTCAAGCTTAAATCTGGAATAGGATATTTTTGGATAATATACCAAAGGATTAGGTGTTATGAATTCCAAAATATGTTCTTGGGGACTCCAGAGGCAACAGGTGTGTAATTTGAGGAAAAAACCATTAGATTCTTTGCCTATAATTTGATAGATAAGAATGGAAGTTCCCCTCCTGACCTGGAAATATGTTGCCATTCCTTCAGTGTCACTGGCTTAAAATCCTGGAACTTCCTCCCCAATAGCATTGTAGGTGTACCTATGCAAAATGGCTTGTAGTGGTTTGAGAAGATAGCTCTCCACCACCACCTTCTGAAGGACAGCTTAGGTGGGCAACAAGTGCTGGCCCAGCCAGTGTCAACACATCCCATGAGTGAATTTAAAACAAAATGGAGTACAACTCCACATAGCTGGACAACAGGAGAGTCTTGAGTAAGGTGTAATAGTCAATTGTATTGAAGACTGTGTGCATAGGTAAGGAAAGGAGAGGTTTATTGAATTTACAAGGATAAAGAATATCTGCTGCAGTTTCCAGTGAGTGCTGATAAATGTTATGAAAGGGAAGTGAGAGCTGGGTCCTGATGTCTGGAGAGGAGGAAGTAGGGCTATCTGGGCATGGATGGGGTGAATTGGGGAGTGGCAGCAGGAGCTGGGGTGGAGGTGGGAGTACTGGGACAAGGTCTGGCAAGGGAACGAATCCAGGACATTGAGGTTGGTTGGCTCGCCGAGCTGGTTTATGCTTTTGCAGAAGCATTTGAGGATGTTACCCAGCATGGTAACGAAACGTCTACGAAACAAGAAACCAGCTCAGCAAGCCAACTAACCTCAACACCCACAACCCGAGTTACAAATCTACTCCAAAACCTTAAGCCAGGACAGCTAGGGGTGAAGGCAGAAGAACCACTGAGACCTGGGAAGTGTGGAGCAGAAGCAACAGTGGTCCGGGGATGTGGGTGTTACTTTCAAGAGTTCAGTTATCCTCTGGGATATAAGGAGATGGGGCCAGAAATGATGGGAGTTAGGTGAAACCCTGGAGAAAGAAAGTGAGTTGTGTTGTGTGTTGGCTTTTACTAAGGTGGAGAAGCTGACAAAATGTGGGTGGAGCAGAAACTGTCGATCATGAGTGGGGTAAAACTTGATGGATACGATGTACTGAAAAATCAAGCTACACTCACGGTATGTAGGTTGCCTGGTCTGGGTTGCTTGCCACTTGCTAAGGGAAGTGGATATTAAGATGGTGGAAGGGTTCTCTGTGATCTTCCAACGTCTCCTAGAAATGGGGATGTGACAACTTAGGTACATGACAAATGTGACACCCTTGTTCATGAAAAGGTGCAAGGTCATTCCTGATAACTCCAAAAAGTTACTTTACATTATTGTTTCTGGAATCTGACTGACTACTAATCAGGTGGAAGAAAACATTAACTGGCAATTGAAGAGGTTTCAGTTCATTGAAGAGATCCAGCAATGATTTGTAAAAGGTGGATTGTGCCTGACTAATGTAATTGAGTTCTTAAATGAAGTAACTGAGGAGAATGCAATGAATGTCCTCTATGGATTTTAAGAAAGCATTTGAGAAGAAACTGTGTAAAGGAGGCTAACAAAACTTAAGGTTTTTGAAGAAATAGATGTATGTGTTAATATTTCAAGTCTAAATTCTCTTCAAAAATGAGTGAGTTTTATGCCTAGAAAAAAATGGGGTGGGTGAACAAATGGGAACAGAACAGAAGGAAATGTCAATGAAATGTTAAAGGGTGAGGATCTTGCTATCTAGTGAAGACTTTGCAGCAGTCTTTACCAGGATGCTGCCAAAGTCCTACTGAAGAAGGAGGTAGTTCAGACTTTGGATTAGCTGAAAACTGCAAAAGAGGGCTATTGAAAGGCTATTTGTACTTGTTGGCAGAAGCACTGACTATATCCTGATCTTCCTCAGCCGCACATGCTGGAGAGCTGAAAATTGCACCATTATTTAAAACAAATGTAAAGATAATCCCAATAGTTACAGCCCTGCCACCTTAATTTTGGGAGTGGGAAAGCTTTTAGAAGTGATAATCTGGGACAAAATCAAGAAACCCTTGGGCAAATGTGGTTTAATTTAAGGAAAGCGAGAAAGTTTTAAACACAAGTCAGATTTAACTTCTGATTTTTCAGTGGTAGTGCAGTTAATATGGCTGTGTATTTGAGGTTTTTGCTAAATACAATGAACAAGTTTGTCAGCCAAATTAAAATCCATGGAATACAAGTGACAGAATGGAGGCAAAGTTGGCTGAATGACCAGAAACCATAGTTGCTTCTCTGACGAGAAGTAGGTATGTTCAGCATTCATAGTATTTTCCTTTTGTCTTAACATCACGGTGTTCCATAGGAATCAGTATTAGAACTACTGATTTTCTGGATCCATATTAGTGACTTTGGACTTGGGTGTGCTGGGCACAACTTCAAAATTTGTAGATGACCCCCAAAATGTGAGAGGATTATGATCTATGGGGCAAGGTTTTCTTGAGATGCCAAACCCTTTCAGTGTAATTTGAGGCAGAGTAGCTAAAAATTGTAAGCAATAGGTAAAGCTAACTGGTATGTTACTACTATGCAGTAGCACCATGACTGATATTTGTCACACGATGTTGCTGTCAAGCATTTCTCACAAATGAGTAATTTGTACATAAATTTCAGTGTAGTACCAGCCCGAAGCCCAAGTGTCCCAGCAATGGGCCAAAGAGCAGAGGTATGCCATTCAGTCCATCAAGTTTGCTCTGCAGTTGAACAGGATCATGGTTATCTAATGATCCTCAACCTATATAAGAAAAAAAAATGCAAAAGCTGGAAATCTGAAACAATGAAAATGCTAGAGAAACTCAACAGATCTGGCAGACTAGAGAGGAGAACAGAGCTCATGTTTCAAGTCTGTTATGACTCTTCAGAACTGAAAGTTGTTGTAAAATGGGTCATTTTATTTACTTTTTGACAGGCAGGTGAGCAAGAGGTGGTGTAGAGGCCCAATGCAAATGACAAAGGAGTGTTGATAGTAGAGAAGGGCAGGACTAAAGCTCTCCTTTCGCATAAAATTTACATGTGTTTTGCATCTCATTTTAAGTGCAGTGTGAACAAAACCTGTTTGGTTGAGGTGAAGGTAGTTTTTTTTTTTTTTTGGAAAAGACAAAGCAGTCAGTTTCTGAAGAAGGGTCACTGGATCCAAGACGTTAACTTTGCTTTCTGTCCACATGCAGCCAAATCTGCTGGGTTTCACTTGTGATTGATTTTATTGTCATGTGTACGGAAGTACAGTGAAAAGCTTTCTTTCTGCAGGAGAAGCAGATCATAGTAAGCAAGGATGTACAAATCAAAAAGACTTAGACATACAGGTTACATCGCACAGGACACAATAGGCAAGATCAACATTAGCAAGATTGGCATTATTTGTGGGTAGAGAGTCCCTTTATCGGTCTAATAAAGGCTGGGAAGAAGCTGTTCCTGTACCTGCTCGTGTGTTCAGGCTTCTGTATCTTCTGCCTGACAGAAGAAGGGGATCATTACCGTGGTGTGACGGGTCTTTGTTGGCAAGTAAAAACTGAACTGCAGATGGTGTAAATCCGGAACAAAAACAAAGTTGCTGGAAAAGCTCAGCAGGTCTGGCAGCATCTGTGAAGGAAAAAAGTTGGCGTTTCAGGTCTGGTGACCCTTCCTCAGAACTGGGGTTGATGTTAACTCTGTTTTATTCTTTCACAGATGCTGCCAGACTTTGTTGGCAGCCTTTCTGCGGCAGCGAGCCGTACAACTGGAGTCCATGGTTGAAAGGTTGACTTCCGTGCTGGTTTGGGCTGTGCACCACTTTCTGTAGTTTCTTACTGTCCTGTGCAGAGCGGTTGCCATACCAGGCTGTTAGACACCTTGACAGTATGCTTTCAGTGGTGCATCTGTAGAAATTGGTGAATGTCTTTGTCTTTGTGGACGTGACCAATTTCCTGAGCCTCCTGAGGAAGAAGAGGCATTGTTGTGCCACCTTGACTGTCGCATCAATGTGGGAAGTTCAGGACAGGTCAGTTATCGTCATGCCGAGGAACTTGATTGCTGTCCACCCTCAACCTCTGTTCCATTGATTATAGATAGATGCATGTTCTTCTCTTTTTTTCTTTCTGAAGCCAGTGATCAGTTCTTCAGTTTTGCCAACATTGAGAGGGGTTATTTTTGTTGCACCACATCACCAAGCCCTCTATCTCCCTCCTGTATTTTGACTTGTCATTGTTAGATATCCATCCCACTATGGTGGTGTTGTCAACATATTTCTTCATGATTTGGCAACATTGCTGTGGATGCACAGAGTACAGTAGGGGGATGAGGATGCATTCTTTTGGGAGCTCCGATTGTTGAGAGTTATTGTGGAGACGGTGCAGTTATCTATCTTTACTGATTTGTGGCCTGTTGGTCAAAGCTGAGGAGTCCGTTGCAGAGTGCAGAGCTGAGACCAAGGTCACAGAGTTATGAGATTGGTCTGGAGTGATGGTGTTGACTACAGCTCTGCCTTCAATGAGCAGGAGTCTGACGTGGTTGTCTTTGTTGTCCAGATGTTCCAGGGATGAGTGCAGGGCTAGGGATATGGTATCTGCTATGGACCTGTTATGTTAGTAGGCAAACTGTGTAGAGAATCGAGGCAGGCTGGGAGACGAGTTGATGTGGTCCATGACCAGCCTCTTGAAGCACTTCATCATTATTGACATCAGAGCCACTGGGCAATAGCCATTAAGGCACACTGCACGTGCTTTTTAGATGCAGGGATGATGGTGGTCATCTTGAAGCAGGTGAGGACTTCGGCTTGTAGGCGGGAGAGGTTGTTGTTGAATACTTCAACCAGTTAGTCCACACAGGATCCAAGTGCTCGCCTAGGGACACCGTCCAGGCCCATTGCTTTCCTTGGGTTGATTCTCTGGAAGACCGATCTGATGTCTGCAGCTGTGTCTGGGGCTGTCGGCAGGCACACCGTGTCACTGGCATTCTGCTCAAACTGAGCGCACCAGGGAGGGATGTGTCTTTGTGTCCTGTAATATTGTTTTAGGCCTCCCCATAGGTGGTGGGAGTCAGTTTGGTCCTCTAACTTGGTCCAGTATTGCCTCTTAGCATCCCTGATGGCTTTGCAGAGGCCATATCTGGATTTATTGTATTGATCTGGGTCATCTGATTTGAATGCTGCACATCTGGTCATCTGTAGGGAGTTGGATTTCACGGTTCAAAGGTTTACAGTTGGGAACACTTGGATTGACTTCTTTGGTATGAAGTCCGTAACAGTTGTGGCATACTCATCTAGGTTTTCCACTGAGTAGATCATAGAATTCCTACAGTGCAGAAACAGGCCCTTTGGCCCGACAAGTCCACACTAACCCTCTGAGCATCCCGTTCATACACAACCCTGAACAGTATGGGCAATTTTTAGCATGGCCAATCCACCTAGCCTGCACATCTTTGGACTGGGAGGAAACGGGAGAACCCAGAGGAGACCCATGCAGACACGGAGAATGTGCAGACTCCACACACAGTTGCCCGAGGGTGGAATCGAATCTGGGTCCCTGGCACTGAGGCAGCAGTCCTAACCACTGAGCCACCGTGCCACCCTTCTACCTTGGTTAGAATTGGACCCCATATGCAATGTGTTTGTTGATGGCATGGTTCTCCAACCATAGTGCCATCAATAAACACATAGAATTGGACCCCGTATACAAACCCCATACAGATCTAAACTGGAAATGACACTACTTACTATAGCGGACCAGACAGTGTAAATTCCAAGCGGAGTAGAATAACACCACTTCCTCAGAGGATCCATTGTTGATGTCACCTAGCTTGGTGACAAAATGTCTGAACAAGAACAAGCCAGCTCGGCGAGCAAGTCAACAACCACAATGGTCCAAAGTGTTCAGTCCTCTTGTGGGGTAGGAGATATGTTGGCGGCACTTTGGCAGCACCCTCTTGAGGTTGGCTTGGTTGAAGTTCTTGTGCACTCATTTGCAACACTTGAGCTCAAGTGTTTTGGGCCATTTGCAGAATATTGACATTTGGTATACATTATAACAAACTCTGCTTTGTCCCAGCTACTTAGCAACAGTAGATTTGGACCTTACTTAATTCTGAAGAGATTAATGAAACAACAGGCAAAACTAGTAAATCAAATCACAGCACTGTTATAACACCTCCATTCCTTTTGTATTTCAGATGTCCAGGATATTATGGAAACATCATGTATGACAGAAGGGTAGTACGAGGAAATACATACGCACAGCATACCCTCCCAGCGGTATGTGTAGTGAACTTGTTTCCAGTTTTACTAAGTTACACTTGTGTAAAACAGCTAACTTTAACAAAATGATGTGTGCTGATTTCTTAAACTGGCAATACATTAGATTCAAAGGAGGATACAATCTGTTCAGTTGAAGACTGGCAATTCCAAATACAGTAGATCCACACTTAAGTTGCTTTCATGGATGTTGTGACTTTAAGTAAATTCATGTGTCGTGTGTCGAAGCAAAATTCTGGAAATTTGAAACGAATGCAAAGAATGAAATAAAAGAACGCTTGCTCTTTCAATTGACCACATTGCTCTCACTAACATCTCTGTCCTGACCCTGCTCTGATATTCCACCAAAGCAAAATGCAAGCTCAAATGACAACCACTCACTTCCACTTAGGAACATTACATCCTTCTCAGTATTGAATTCATTAACTTCAGAAACTTGTGTCGGTTCTGTTTTTTTTTCTTTTAGTCTCCCCCTATAGTCATGGTGTGTTTGTGTCTTGTTTAATTTCTAAATTGTAAGCTAGGATCAATGGTCTCCATTTCACAGCTTAATTTACACTTTCTTTTAAAGAAAAAAAAATTCCCCTTTCTCTACTGTTTATGATGGGAAATAGCTGAACCCCTCTGATAATTAAACTAAATCACAAGCCCCAATCTGTTATGACAGGCGTGAGGATTCCCCACTAATAATTACCCCTGAAACACCCAGAGAAGCTCATCTTTCCTGTCTTAATAGATTAAGAGTGTTTGTTTTTTTTAAGAAAATCCCTAATCTCCATGTTACAAGAAACATTTGTTTTATTTAACCCAACAATGAACAAATTGACTAACAAACTGACAATTCCCTCCTAGACTACTAACTGATGTAAATACTACTGGAATGCCATTTGAATAATGACAAGTTCCACTAATATAGACCCAATTAATAAGAAGCAACAAATTATAACTTAGTCTGTGTGAACTTGGAGAGATTGTCTTCTGGAATATTCTGTTGTCTCCATTTGCTTCACAAACACCTTTCTTCTGTTAACTTTCCTGAGAGCAGAATTATCTCATCTTTTTAATGAGGACTTTGAGCTAAAACATCATGGTACCTTTGAATTAGATGAGCTTTCTCTGAGAGCTGAATGGTGCAAACTCTGACAGATGGCAGTTGGCGCTCCCTGATTTTCCAAATGCCCTCGTCTTCCATACCTCTAATGAGGTAATCAAATTCTTATATGGTTGGTTTCAGGTTGTCAACACTGTCCAATTTTAAATTCAGTTGGCTTTCTGTTTCTAGGTGCTTCGTTTAAATTAGTTGGCCAAATTCAAACTTATCACAACATCAAAACAAGATATAGAGCTGGATGAACACCGCAGGCCGAGCAGGAAAGCTGACATTTCGGGCCTAGACCCGTCTTCAGAAATGTGGGAGGGGAAGGGGGTTCTGAAATAGGGAGAGAGGGGGAGGCAGCGAGAAGATGGATAGAGAAGATAGGTGGAGAGGAGACAGGCAGGTCAAAGAGGCGGGGATGGAGCCAGTAAAGGTGAGTGTAGGTCAGGAGTTAGGGAGGGGATAGGTCAGTCCAGGGAGGACGGACAGGTCCAAGGGGGTGGGATGAGGCTAGTAGGTAGGCAGTGGGGGTGGGGCTTGAGGTGGGAGGAAGGACAGGTTAGGGAGGCGGGGACAAGTTGGGCTGGTTTTGGGATGCGGTAGGGAGAGGGGAGATTTTGAAGATTTTGAAGCTTGTGAAGTTCACATTGATACTATTGGGCTGCAGGGTTCCCAAGTGGAATATGAGTTGCTGTTCCTGCAACCTTCGGGTGGCATTGTTGTGGCACTGCAGGAGGCCCAGGATGGACATGTCGTTTAAGGAATGGGAGGGGGAGGTGCAGTTGTTTAGTGCGAACCGAGCGTAGGTGTTCCGCAAAGCGGTCCCCAAGCCTCTGCTTAGTTTCACCGATTGTAGAGGAGGCCACATCTTGAACAGTGGATGCAGTATACCACGTTAGCAGATGTGCAGGTGATCATCTGCTTGATGTGGAAGGTCCTCTTGGGGCCTAGGATGGGGGTGAAGCGGGAGGTGGAGGTGTAGGTGTAGCACTTCCTGCGGTTGCAGGGAAAAGTGCCAGGTGTGGTGGGGCTGGAGGGTGTGTGGAGCGGACAAGGGAGTCACGGAGAGAGTAGTCCCTCCGGAAAGCAGATAAGGGTGGGGAGGGGAAAAATGTCTTTGGTGGTGGGGTCGGATTGCAGATGGCGGAATTGTCAGAGGATGATGCGTTGGATCCGGAGGCTGGTGGGGTGGTACGTGAGGACGAGAGGGATTCTGTTTTGGTTGGTATTGCCGGGAGGGGATGTGAGGGATGAGTTGCGGGGAATGCTCCGCCACTTTTTCCACTCTGAGGAAGTCATACCAGACTTGAAATATCAACTCTTTCTCTTTACAGACCTGTTGAGTTTCTTCAGAATTCTATTTTAACATTGTTTGTTAATGTTCTGTATTCCTAGCTGAGATAATATGCACAATAAAAAAATTACCAAATAAACACACATACTGTAAATGTAACTGGTTTCAGGTTGTGTAGGCTCCATCTACTGGCATAACCTGGTCAATGCTGGGAGTAGCTGAAGTCCCTGTGGTGGTGTTGCGAGTCTTGATTCAGAGCTAAACTCTGGACGTAACAGTGTAAATACCCAGAAATATGTTAAAGAAAATTTAATGAACATATAATGATTCTAAAATCTTCTTTTAATGATAATATAAAGAAGAAAGATAAAATGATTTCATCCCTTTCAGTAAAGTTGTGTAGGCCCTTCAAGGAAGGCTCACCAGACCCGAAACGTTAACTCTGATTTCTCTTCACAGATGCTGCCAGACCTCCTGAGATTTTCCAGCAACTGTTTTATTTCTGATTTACAGCATCCTCAGTTCTTTTGGTTTTTATATATGTAGGTATCTATCAGTAGAAAGGAAGAAATACAACGAGCATTAATCACAAATTGTTCACATGCAAACGTGCTCAAGGAACCCTAAATTAATCTGTCCATGCTTAGTCTCCAAAATGGCAAAACATCCTTTGATGCATTTATCACAAATTTTCCAAATAACTTTACATAAAGGTGTCCTTCTGATCAACTGCTGACTCCATTGATGGCTCTTCCCCTTGAAATTTTCAGTATTTGACTGTTGACCACTGGTAGCTGCAAATTCTGGATAAGCTGCCATCTAGCCAAATTTTTGGATCCATTCCAACCTTTTGACACTTCAATCAAGAATTTCTCAAAACAAAAGGTTTGAACAAAGCATAACATGAGATGGTGGAGCAGAAATAGGTAATTCAACCCCTCCAGCCTGCTCTTCTAGTTAATACAATCGTGGCTGATCTCATCTTGGCTCAACTGCACTTTCCTTCCCACTCTCCATAACCTTTCAACCCATTACTAATTAAAAATTTGCCTGTCCCCAGCATCCACCCCACTTAGGGTAATGAATTCCACAGATTCACAGCCCTTTGAGAAAAGTAATTTCTCATCTCTTTTGGAGTCTGCTACCCCTTTATGTTAAAACTGTGATCCTTTGTTCTGGATTGCCATAGGTGAAGAAATATCTTTACTCTATCTACTTTGTCAATTCCCTTTAGAAGTTATTCTCTCTAATTAGATCTCCTCTCATTCTTCTAAACACCAAAGCTTATAGACCTAAACTACTCCATCTCTTCATAAGACAAATCATTCATCTCTGGAATCAATCACGCGAATCTCCTCTGATCTGCCTCCAATACGACTACATCCCTACAAGTCAGGACACCGAAGCATGAATCTTGTCTCTCTCAGACTTTGAAAACTTGACATGTTTCAGAGTTCAGACTATTGACCATTCTTCATGAATCCCTCACATTTATACAGTTTGTCAGTTGAGCTGTCTTTAGTTGTAAACATCAGAATGGTGTGTTGCTTCTCTGGTGCTAGAATCAAAGATATCTTGGAGAGGGTGCAGTATATTCCCAAAGAGGAGAGGGCCCAGTAGGATGTCGTTATACACGTTGGAACTGGCAACATAGGAAGAGAAAAGGACAAGATTCTGAGGAGAGAATATAGGAAGTTGAATTTTAAAAAAAGGTCCTCGAGGGTGGTAATAGCTGGATTACTCCAGGTGCTATGAGCTAGTGAGGGAGGAAAAGGAGGATAGAGCAGATGAATATGTGGCTGAGGAGCTGGTGCAGGGGAGAAGGATTCACATTTTTGGATCATTGGAATCTCTTCTGGGTGGAAATGATCTGTATAAGAAGGACAGATTGCACCTGAATTGGAAGGGGACTAATATACTGGCAGAGAGATTTGCTAGAGCTGTTCAAATGGATTTAAAATGGTTGGGGTGTTGGGGAGGATTGCAAGTTGGAGCCAGGTAGATAGTGAGGAACCGTTAGGTACCGTTAGGGAATGTTGGGGCAGACCGGAACAAAGCAGAGGATGAGGTAGGACTGATAAATTAAGCTGCATTTATTTCCATGCAAAAGGCCTAACAGTTTAGGCAGATGAACTCAGGGCATGGTTGGGAACGTGGGTCTGGGATATCATAGTGATTAGAGACGTGGCTCAGGGATGGGCAGGACTAGCAGCTCCACAGTATAGATGCTGTAGGAAGAATAGAAAGGGGGTCAAAAGAGGAGGGCGTTTTCGATTAGGGATAATATTATGGCTGTACTTAAGGAGGATATTCCTCGGAATATGTCCAGGGAAGTTATTTGGGTGAAACTGAAAAATAAGAAAGGGATGAACACCCCATTGGGATTGTACTATAGATCCCGCCAATAGTCAGTGGGAAATTGAGAAACAAATTTGTAAGGAGATCTCAGTTATCTGTTAGAATAATAGGGCAGATATTGTAGGGGATTTTTAACTTTCCACACACAGACTGGGACTGCAGTAGTGTTAAGGGCTTGGATGGAGAGGAATTTAAGTGTGCACAAGAAAATTTTCTTGTGCAATATATGGATGTACCTACTAGAGAAGCAAC